AGCTGGGGTCACAGAGGTCGTCTGCTGGAAGTTTTAAAACTGAAAGTGCTGTCTGTTACCACGACGACCTTATTATGACGGGGGGATAATCCCAGTTATTTTGGCCAATAATTATAATTTGGCTTGTTTAACATAATTTTAATTAGCGTAACACTTGCCATGGATTCAATTAACATTTATAGAAGAGTTTTCTTGAACTTTAAATATATTTCAGATGAAAACAAACAAATATCAGAGAGAAGCAGTGGAAGGATACGGGGCCGTTCGGTCGGGTTTACTCTGAAGCCACGTGCTGGTCCGGTGCATCCTAACCCTGCTGCGTGATGTACGCGCCTCTTATAAATTCTCCCTCTATGCTGCCTTACATGCGACGTGCCCCACCGGGACCTCTTTTATTTTTTCTTGAACTCCTTTCTTACTTTCACTTTAACTCACCGTTTAAGTTTAAGAACTAAAAACGACTCGGTTAGGTTTAGGAAATCAGGGTTTGGGTTGCTTTGGAAGAAAGCGACTCATGCACACGAGCATGTTCTGCAGAGGAGGCGGGATTAGATGTTACACGTCACGTTTGTCGATCATGTACGCACCGCTGCCATGCTGTCATCCAGTTAGGTTTATAACATCGGCTGCTGACCTCAGCATAAGAGAAACAGTTTTGTGTTGTTCTTCTTCACTCCCAACAACACATTGAGGGAAATCTTACATACAGTTAGAATAACAGTCTGAAATGGATTCGTATCAGGAAAACCTTTAGAAAATATAAACGAACACCAAATGTGGATGACGCAAGAACTTTATTTCTGCGAAAAATCCGCCCAGTCAGCCGACTTCAAAGAGGTTTAACGGGAATGATCGCGCTGACATCGGTTCCCCAGCTGTCTGCGTTCACAACTGAGTATAAACCCAAAAGCCAGCTGGTTTCCCAGGGTCTCCTCCTGGCAGGACGTCCCACAAACATCTCGTCTGGGACTCACCAACGAGGCATCCTCGTCAGGTCTTTGAACCTTGGCCGGGAACACAATATCCACATTTCATGGCCATAGGTGAGCCTCAGCTCGTAGCTCAACCAGGAAATTGCTGAACCTATCTTAGTGAATATTATTTCCAGCAACCAAAATCATTAATTATGATTTTTGTTTTTAATCAGGCAGCTTTATTGACATCGTTGCTTTGTAAAAGACGCGTGGAGCTTCCACCTCTGAGACGTTTACCCAACGAGTGTGCGCTGTGTCC